TGAGAACTAGGGCTGGGGATCCTGGAGGCCCAGTGCTCAGGCTACGCAGAGAAAGAGGGGGTCCATTTCTGGAGGTCACTGGTGAGTGGCAGCAGTGTGCCCAGCACAGTGACCCAGGCCCATGTAGCACATGGCTCCTTGCAACATGGTTGACCCTAGTCAGGGTGGGCAGTGTGGCCATATAGGCAGGGGGGGCAGGGGCGGGCAGATAGTGAAATCCTTCTTCCCTCCACTGCAGTCAGTTCTGTCGGAGTGAAGGGGTTGGAAGTCCCTGGGCTCGCGGAGCCCAGGTAGAGCTGGAGTCCCAGGCCACAAGGGACAGCGCAGCAGGTGCTCAGGCCTCAGGAGCTGGGCACACTGGCAGAGTTGACAGAGGATGTGAGGGAGAGGATCCTGGTTACAGGCAGCAGCTTCCAGCTGTGGGAGCATGTGTGACCCCAGAAGAGGAAGCGGCTAGTGACGGCGGGCTGTGTGTGCGCCAGCAGCTTCTCTGACTGATGGGAAGTGGCACTAGGTCTTGTGTTTTCTGCACATGCAGTGCTTTGCCCTGCCTGTGCTCTGGGCTGGGGGGAGGGGGCAGCGTAGGAGGGGCCATGGGGGCTGTGCTGGTGTTGGTGCTAGTGCTGACAGGCTGAGCCCAACTGCTTCCTGACACATCAGCTCAGGCCCTGGAAGAGTCTGGAATCGTGTGGCCAGGCCTGCATGGCCCCGCCATGTACTCAGCCCTGAGGTGGCCCGTACCTCTAGTTGGTGTCGTACTTCCTGGTTGAGGGTGTCTGGGTGGCTCAGGCCCCATGCTCAGTACCCTCTCCCCTGCCCTTGTGGGTGCCTGTTGGTGTGAGGTACCCATGACCACACCGTAAACCAGGGCTCTATGTCCTGTTTAGGAACATGTCCTAGTCCAGAACAGCCCCACACACAGTGATTGCCTTTTCCAGTCAGGGATGCTCTGAGATACTGGAGTCAGGACTTAACCAGTGTGTCTGGCGCCTGACTGTGGTCCCCCAGATTCATGGCTTCCCAGGTACAAAATACATTGAGCTGAAACTCGGCCCCTCCAGCACCTCCCGAGTGCCAGATCTCAGTGTCTCAGCCTGTCTCTGGCAGGTATGGAGGAGACTTGGAGGCTGAATCCCCTAAGCGCAGGCTTCCTCTCCCTAAACACAAGCTGAGACAGCCTAGGACTGATACTGCTGTTTTCAAAGGCAGGAACAAAGGGGTAAGGGTTGTGCGTGCCAATCAAGTATGCAGTTGGCGGGGGCTCGAGGGGTCCTGAGGCCCGTGGTCCTGCTCTGGCTCTGTGGGCATGTGACTGCCATTCAGTGTTCCGTGTTGCTGCTGGGATAAAGTTCTCCACATCACTGCTGGCTTTTCCCATAGTTCCCAGCATCTAGCTTGCAGGCCAGAGGCTCTTCACAGAGAGCTTCTGCATACCGTGTCTGTTCTGGTCGTTTTGTAGGGATGGGCTGGACACACAGATCACCCCTCTCTGGCAGACACTTGTGCAGCAGCCACCTTGCTGTTGTAGACCTGCCTGGATGGTCACCAGGTCCTGGCTCCCTTTTGCTTAGAATGTAGTTTCCCAGTCCTTTTTCCTCTTGTATGTTACATGTTTTGGCATGTGTGTGTATGTTTTATTTTTTATTTATTTTTTATTTTTTTTGGTACTGGGGATTGAACTCGGGACCCTGCACTTGCCAGGCAGACGCTTACTCTACTGAGATATCTCCCCAGTCCGTGTGTGTGTGTGTTTTGAGAGGGGGTCTTGCTTTGTATTTCAGGCTAGCTTTGAACTCACTATGTAGCCCAGGCTGGCATCAGACTTATAATGATCCTGCCTCAGCCTCCCAACTGCTAGGATTGCTGGCCTGCATTTTACTCTTTTTTTTTTTTTTTTTTAGTGGAACCGGGGATTGAACTCAGGCCCTTGCGCTTGCCAGGGAAGCGCTTATTCCACTGAGCCATCTCCCCGGCCCCTGCATTTTACTCTTAACAAGGAAAATCCCACTGCATCTTCCACACTGTGCTTGGAAATATCTTTGGGTAGATACCCAGGCTCATCCTTGCAAGTCCTGAATTCCTGCCTGCAGGACCCAGTTCAGCCACGTTTTCTGGGGTCTTCCATCCATTCTCCAGTACACACTCCTTGTTTCACCCCGAGTGCACAAAAGAGGCACCTCGTGTTCTTGCCTTTTTCCTTGTGGAGACACCAGTTCTCAGCACCCTCCTGTTAGTTGATTTATCTGATCAGCTTTTCCCAAGCGAGGTCACTTTCCTAGGTTCCAGGGACTCAGCTTTGGGGGTGTGAGCTAGCTAATGGCAGTGGCCCCAGGCCCAGTGGCTGAGAAGGGGCCCTTCCCACCTGGTCCAAGCCTCCTGGGCGTGGAGCTGCCTATGCTGACCCCTACTCTGCACAGGCCATGCGGACCCTCAGCTGGAAGCACACCCTAGGCCTGGTGACCATGGATGTGGAGCTGGCTGACCGCACCCTGTCTGTGGCAGTGACCCCTGTGCAGGCGGTGGTCTTATTGTACTTCCAGGACCAAGGTGAGCAGGCAGCCCTTCCCACAGAGGTCTGGGCCTGGCGCTGTAGCCAGATGTGGGTAAAGTTGGGGCAGCCTGGGCTGTGCAGGCAGCAGCCCCTTCCTCTGCAAGGGCCAGTGGGATACTGTGGGTTCCGCACACCTCAGGAAGACAGCTGGCAGGAGGCGGTGCGGGTGTGCCGGGCTGCCCCAGCATCTCCACACTCTGCCTACAGCCAGCTGGACCCTGGAAGAGCTGAGCAAGGTGGTGAAGATGCCAGTGGCACTGCTACGGCGCCGCATGTCTGTGTGGCTGCAGCAGGGTGTGCTGCGGGAGGAACCGCCAGGTACCTTCTCAGTCATTGAGGAGGAGCGGCCACAGGACCGTGACAACATGGTGCTTATCGACAGTGATGAAGAGAGTGACTCAGGCATGGCCTCGCAGGCCGACCAGAAGGAGGAGGAGCTGCTGGTGTGTTAGCTGTGTCTGGTGGGCAGGTGGGTGGGCAAGGATTTGGAGAACAGCCCCTGATACACAGCTGTCCCCACAGCTCTTTTGGACATATATCCAGGCTATGCTGACTAACCTGGAGAGCCTCTCACTGGAGCGCATCTACAGCATGCTGCGCATGTTCGTCATGACAGGCCCTGCGCTGGCCGAGATCGACCTGCAGGAGCTCCAGGGCTACCTGCAGAAGAAGGTGCGTGACCAGCAGCTCATCTACTCCGCTGGTGTCTACCGCCTGCCTAAGAGCTGCAGCTGACAAGTGCCCAGCAACCCTGCCCAGTGAGACACCATGAGCACAGCTGGGGGTGCCCCACCTGTTCCACCCGTGTTCTACACCCCTGCCTGCCCCCATTCTCTGCCTCCCCTCCCCCACTTTGCCTTCTCGGTGTCAGCACCCCTGTCCACCACCAGCGCTCGCATTAAAGTAGGTCAGTTCTTCCACTGCGTCCAGGTGCCTTTGTGGACCCCACACTCTTCCCCTGTAGGAGCTGCTGTGCTTCAGCCAGCCCTGCTAGATGCTGTGGATCTGTCCTAAGATGCCCCAGACTGAAGTGAGCCAGAGGTGGCTGTGGTAGGCCCCAACTGGCACTCACCAGATAACCTGGGTCATCTCCAGCCCCACTTGCTCTCCCCCTTGCCTCCCCTTCACCTCTGCGCTCCTGTGGGGACTGGGCCAGGCTGGGTGCTGCTAGCACAGGGACTGCACCAACCCTCAGGCACAGGTGAGGACTTCCAGGTCTTCAGGTGAATGTGACTTGGCAGAGGGTCTGGCCACTTGCCCACCTGCCCCAAACCTCATGCTTACAACCTTACACCTGGAAAAGCAAATGACCTGTATCCTCTGAGCCAAGGGCTGGGGTGAGCCAGTTCTGCCTTTGCTCTGAACTTAGGGACAGGCTCCGTCCAGGAGACACCTGCCCTGTCTCCCCTGGGGTCCACACTGGCCCAACACTTGTCAGTACCATAGTCTCTGTTCAGGCTTTGTTGCCACCCCAGTCCTGAAGCTGCTGTTCCCAAGTAGGAAATGTCTTGGGCTGAGGCATTGCCCTGACAGGGAACAAAAGCCCTTTGAAACCCTTGCCATTGTCCTGCCATGCGTGCCTGGGGGCTTGCACACCTGGCTTCAGCTGTGTCCTGGGCCCTCTGTCCCTTTCTTGTCCCTTCACCTTGGCTGCCTTGGGTCCAGAATTGCCCCAGGGCCCTGCCCAGGGTATTCTGTGCTGCACTCTGTGCAAGAGAAGGCAGTGTGTGGTGCACCGCCCAGGAATTCTGCCCCAGCCCCAGCCCCTTTACTCACACCTGTGCTGGGACCGTGGTCACGCTGGGTCCCTTGAGATCAGGTAATGGCCTTAAGGCTCGGACACCCACTGTCTCCCCTATGAGGGTCCTGTCTGGATCCTGCTACCTGTGGCCACCACCTGGCCCCCAGCAGGGTGTGAGTCTTCGTCCTAACCAGGATGTAAACCAGCCAGACCGGCCTGGCGGGTGGAGGTGCCACTCCCTGGCTAGGGCACACCTTTTGTCCTGCATTCCTTCGGGAGTGTCCTGGATCACATTGTGGCCACTGGGCTGCCCCAGTAGCCCCTGCAGGGGCACTTCTGTCTACGTTGGAGTGTCAGACAGTGGAGCCTCTGAGTGGGACTGTCGTCTTGTGAGGCCCAGGTGGTAGGAGGCCTGGAACCCCACTAGCCTGGGGGTTCATTTGCCCTTGGTGCCCTCAGTTTGGAAGGTCTTGAGGTGGAGGCAGGGTGGGTGGCTCCAACCAGCCTGGAACAGCAGGTGCAGGGACGTGCGTGGCCCGGGGATGTTAACCCTGACTGTGCCAGCCTGAAGCTCCTGGCTGGCTGTTTGGCAGAACTGATTCTTGGCACAGTGGGCTCCAAATTCAACAAGGACCAGGCTACTTGGGGGTGCCTCCAACCGCTTCTGAGCAGCTGTTTACAGAGAGACGTTCTGCAGGTATGGCCAATTCCCCGGGCTTGTTGGGGCCCCGCGGGATGCAGCAGCCTCACAGTGCAGGCTGTGCGGGCAGGGGGCTCGACCTTGCAGAAGCAGCTGTGAGGGTGATGACATACTTTCACCCCTAACCTGCTGCCCCCTCAGCCCCTCCCTATGCTAGCCCTGATACTGCCAGAGGACTACTGCCAGGCCGCTGTCCCTGCACTAGAAGGCCCAGCCCCACTCTGCCTGGCCAGGCCCCCACCTGACCCAGCCCAAACTCCCTGTCCAGGGCTCCTGAAACCCCGGTGCCCAAGGGTGCACGCGGCCTAAGCCGGCCTTGGCCCAGCAGCCCCGCCCCCGCCCACCCCATCCCCACTGTGAGGTCAGCACCTTCCTTCAGGTTCCATCCAGAGCTGTGTGGTGGGGCTGGGCTGGCCATGGGCCCTCATTCCCACCCTGACACCTGCCTGTCTGGCAGCCCCCTGGGCCTGATAGCTTTATCCTTGTTCATCCCAGCTGCAGGTATGCCTCCGCCCCAGTCCCCTACTTTCCCAGGCAGGGCTGTCCCAGTATCTCCTGGAGCCACTGGGGTGGAGTGGACTTGGAGGTCCTCCACTGGTGGGTGACAGCTCCGCGCCTCGTGGCCCTGTCTCCGCAGCTGGGACCAGCTGGGACTGCAGCCTCGGCCTCAGCCGCGAAGCCCTCACCGCTCTCATCGTAGTGCTGGTGGGCATCAGTGCCAGCTGCTTCTGTGCCCTGCTCATTGTGGCCATCGGTGTCTTCCGGGCCAAGGAGTGCGTGAGCTCAGGGCAGATGGTGGTGGGGTGGAGGCCACAGGGCTGGCCCTAGGCCCCTGGTCACGGGTGGGCTGTCACTAGCGGGTGGAAATGGCACTCCTCACGTGTGTACCAAGGAGGGGTTGGGGTACTGCTGGGTTTGTGGGGCCAGCATTGCTCCAGGAGTTACGCCTACCTTTGTCCTCCAGTGAGACCTGCCCCAGACATATAGATAGCAGGTGAGTAGGGGTGTGGGGTCCCCTTCATGCCACCACTGGGAAGGCCACTCACTGTGGCGCTGAGAGCACTGTCCCCAAGGCCCTGCCAGCCTGTGCTGTCATGCAGGTTGGTGGAACACTACGGGGCCCATGAGGACCGCATGGACGTACACGTGGAGTCCCGCCTTGACCTGGAGATGCCTACAGTGCAGTCCCTGGAGGACTGTGTCCTCATGGAGGACGCTCTAGAGGAGCCACCCCTACTCCCCACGTAGGGCAGAGTGTTGGGCAAGAGAATTAAAACTATTTAGTGGTTGGTTGAGGGTGTCCTCCTTGCAAGTGACACGACCCCTTGAGGCACATGGGTGGTCAGCGCCCCTCCCCAGGCAGGAAACCACGCCCTGGGGGTCATACTTGCCTGGAGAGTCCTGCTCCTCTCTAGGCCCCGCCACATCTCACACAGGGCCTGCAGTTGCCAACTCAAGAGTAAAGCACTGGGGGCCGCCCCTTAGCTCAGTCCTTTAAGTGGCTGCTTCAACAAAGCAGTCAGGCTCAGGTTGCTGTGGTTCCATCCCCAGAACTCAAGCCAACCAAACCTGCCCGAAGGCATTCGGAGCCAGCCAGGAAAAAAAAAATCCTTCAAGAGTAAAGCACTGGACAGGAGCACCCAGGCTCATGACCCCTCCCATTCACTGTACCCTGCAGGTTTCAGGGAGTGGGAGACACTTTCCCCGCTGCACTGTCCCTGCAACACTCCAAGGCCTGTGGCCCCAGCTCAGGCTGGTCAGGTATTCCTGCCACTCACCACAGGAGGGGACCAACACACTCCCCAAGGGGGTCCCTTCACCCAGCCCAAGTGGAGCTGGATTGGGTGTGTGCAGTCCACAGTCGCTTGCATGTTGTGGCCCTTGCTGAGGGTTCGGGTGAGCATGACCCTGCTGCTCCAGCCTCGCAGGAGAAACCACCACAGGCCTGGCATTCTGGGCCAGCTGGCTGGCAGTGCTGAGTATTGGCTGTGTGCCTGGCCCCCGCCCTGACCGGCCGTGGGACAAGAACAGCAGGTATCAGGCTGGACAGTCAGTGTTTGTGCAGGCACCACAGAGAGGAAGTGTCCAGGATGCCTGGGCTCCGAGGACACACAGGCAGCAGGGAGCCTACCTTGGGTCCTAGAGCCGCCCCAGTGCGGGGCCTCTACTTTTTACCTGGGCCTCTGAAGAAACTGTTGCTGGTACTGCTACTGTCGCTAACGCCAGCCTGGGCCTCAGTGCCCACTGCAGTTGCGCCTTCGGAGCCCCCTGGCGCTCCCGAGTGCCCAGAGGCATGTGCCTGCTCTGCGGGCGGCCAGGCCAACTGCTCTGCCCTGGCACTGCTTTCTGTGCCCGTGGGCCTGAGCCGGCGCATGCATACGCTGCTGCTTGACCACAATCGCTTGTGTACGCTGCCGCCCTCCGCCTTCGAGGGCGCGTGCGCCCTGCACCTCCTGGACCTCAGCGAGAATGGGCTGCGCTCCATGCACGCCCGGGCCTTCTGGGGCCTCGGCGCCTTGCAGCTTCTCGACCTGAGCGCCAACCAGCTGGAGACGCTGGAGCCTGGAACCTTCACGCCGCTGCGCGCGCTGCGTTCCCTATCGCTGGCCAGAAACCGCCTAGCGCAGCTGGAGCCGGCGGCGCTGGGCGCGCTCCCTGGGTTGCGCGCGCTCAGCTTGCAGGATAACGCCCTGTCGGCGCTGGAGCCCCGGCTGCTCGCTCGCCTGCCGGCCCTCGACGCGCTTAGCCTGAGCGGCAACCCCTGGGCCTGCGGCTGCGCCCTGCGCCCGCTCTGCGTCTGGCTGCGGCTGCACCCGCGCGCTTCAGGTGAGCGGCGCCGAATTGGGCCGGCCAAGCTGGGCGGTTGGGGCCCCCACCTGACGAAAGTCCCCGCTCCCACAGAGGCCGAGCCCCTGCTCTGCGTGTCTCCCGGGCGTCTGACGCTCACCCCTCTGACTGCTTTCTCTGACGACGCCTTCCGACACTGCGCAAAGAGCCTCTCCGTGCGGGACCTGGTTGTGATCTACGCGCTCGGGCCTGTCTCCTTTCTCGCCAGCCTGGCCACCTGCCTAGTGTTAGGCTCCGTGATCACCGCCTGCCGCGCGCGCCGCCGTCGCCACCACCACCTGGCGGCCCGCCGCCCGCCGCGACCCCCGGACCCCGCTGGGCCCGCCTGCTGCTCCTCGGAGCCAGAGAGCGAGGTGGCCCCACCTGCCAAGGCCTGAGCGTCCTGGAGCACACTCACCCCACCCCCGCCCTCCCTTCACACTCCGCTGGCAAAACAAGGACGCGGACTGAAAATGTCGTGACATTCCTTCAGGGATGACCACTGCACACGGGGCGGGGGCGGGGCGTGCCGGGCCGGAAGGGGGCAGAGCACTACTGCGCACAGGCCAAGGGGAAGGCGCATACTCGGACCAGGAGAGTTGGGCCTGCACCTGGTGGCCGCAACTGACACGCCCAAGGCTAATAAGGGGAGCGGCGCTCCTCTGCGCCCAAGGTGCCGGGCAGGGTTGAGACAGTCCAGAGCTGGAGCCTCAAGTCCGCGCGAGCTGCAGGCGAAAAGGCTCCGCCCACTCGGAGTCTGAAGGAGGCGCAGGCGTTGGGGACCTCGAGCGCCCCGGGAAGTGCTGCCAGCTGGGGGAGTCAGGCAGCTGTGGGGACTGGCAGGACCAGCCCAGCAGACGGGGTCGGGGAGAAGGGGTACGGGATAGGAGTGCAGCAAGAAGAGGAGAGGGTAGAGCTCAGGCTGCAGGCGCTAGAGGAACGTGCCTGCCAGCCGGCGCCATGGGCCCCCACCGTAGCTTGGGATAGTGGCCAGATGGGGCTGCCAGCTCTGTTCCGAGCCCCTCTGCCCAGGGTCACTGCTCAGAGACCCCAGGGCCCTGCCTCTGCCGGAGCGCCCTGTGGCCCTGCCCAGCCGGCTCAGCTCTGGCCCGTCCTCAGCCGCTCCGGTCCGCACCTTGGTCCAGCAGGAGCTGCCTGCCAGGCAGCAGGGCAGGTGGGCGGACAGGAGGCCCAGGGTGGGCAGTCTCTGGGGCGGGTGGGTTTCCCTCAGGCCTTCCCGAGCAGCAGGACTCATCAGTGTCCTTGGCCGGGCTAACTGGGCAGGTGGGCGCCTCCGGGGGGCCTCACACCACGGTGCTGACCGAGGGATCTGAGAGGTTGAGCGGGCCCGTGATATCAGTGGGATGGTACTGCTGCAAAATAGAAATACACAGACAAGGCGGCCCGTTAGCCCCGACGCTGGGGGCACTTGCGGGGCCGGGACAGGGTGGACCGGCCAGCCGGCGACCGGCGGGCGGGCAGGCGCAGCCTCGGGGAGGCTGGGGGCGCTCCTCCCCGACCCGTCGTGCTCGGGGGCTCTGCGTGGGCCGGGCGCTGTCCCGGGCGTCTGTCTGTCTGTCTGCGGGGGGGTGGGGGCAGAGGAGGGCGGCGGGCGGGCGTCTCAGCCCTCCCTATGACGCGAACACAGCTGCAGCGGGCCCTCCTCCCTCTCAACAGCGCGTCGCGGCAGCACTGTGTCTTTTTGGTTTTGCAAAGCGCCGCGTCCACCCCCGGTGCTCTATAAATAAGAACCAACAATCAATACCCGCTGGCCCCGCTGGCTGCCAGGGATCCCAGCCCTGAGTGCCCAGTGCCGCCCTGGCCCGGACCAGCCACAGGGCAGGGGCAGAGGATCTCAGCAGCGGGACCAACCCCACCCCACCCAGAGGAGCCCCCCCTCCCCAGGCCTCCCTCTGAACAGGTGCCCAGCCCCAGACCAGGTGGGAGCTGGGCTGCCCTCCCCCACCCACAGCCCAGTGGCAAGGCGCCCCACAGTCAGCCCTGCAGGGTGGAGACCTTCTCCAGGTGCCACTGGTCCTGGAGGATTGCACTGGGAGTGTGTCCCCAGGACATCCTGAGCTGCAGTTGTGTCAGCTGCAGGCAGGACCCAGACCTGGGGGCCACCTGCTGAAAGTGGCCCATCACTGCCCAACTTCTGTGACCCCCAGATGCCTTGTCCCCCAAAGCACTGCTTCTCCTGTCTGCCAGGAGACATCCTCCTCCCCTGGCTGCCCAACCCACAGTCCTTTGTCTCTGCTCTTTTCTTCTACCCTGTGCCTCCTGGTGGGACACCAGGCTCAGACCAATCAGGCCGGTCCTGAGGACTCCGCTGCCACCAGCTTCTGGAGCCCTTGGCTACCTCTCTCCCTCACTTGCCTCCTCCCACTAGAGCTGAGCAGGCAGGCATCCAGGGTCCCTCTTGGGGGCACCCTGATGGCTTTGCTCTGGACTCGGATTGCTCTGTGCCAAGTCCTGCCTACGTCCCAGAGGTTTGCCCTTCTTCTTGTGCAGGGAGAGGATGGGGGCTGCAAATGGCAGTTCCTCCCTGGTATATATTCCCCTTTGGGATGGCACTGCCCAAGGGCTGGGGACTCCCTGTGGGCTGGACTGTGGGGTGGCTGCCTGGCTCCAGGGTACCTCTAGCAAGGAAAGGGCCTTCTGGGGGCCCTACATCTGGGGGTATGCTCCAGTGGAGTGACAAGCTGTGCAAAGCAGGAGATAGGGTCCTGGCTCAGCGGCAGAGGGCCAGATTCTGAGTGCCCCGTGGAGGTGCTGAGGTCAGAGCTGAGGTACTTGTCTGGGGATCCCCATTCTGGGCCCCCTCTGGAACCTTGGTACTGCCCTAGGCTCTGCTGGCCTAGGCTGGCAGAGCTGCACCTGCCTGCCTGCCCTCAGATTCTCAGAGACTACTCTCACTCCAGTAGGGACCCCTGGTCCCACCCCATCCCCCACGGACAGTATGCTGTGGCCAGGGGCCACCAGGTCCCAGCCGTCCACCCAGATGGACCCGGACCCGGCCCCCAGCCCCCGGCCCACACAGAGACCACATGGAAGATGCAACACACATGGCTCTGGTGAGACAGGTGAGACAGGTGTCCGGGGGGCAGGGCCAGTGGCCAGACAGACGGACGGGATGGGACATCACAGCCACCCCTCCAAGGCCACCACAAGGCAGGAGTGTGGGCGGCAGCCCCTTTGGGGGAGGTGAGAGAAACAGGGACAGTACAGCAGTGGTGTGGCCTCCTGGTATGAGGGCAACTGAGACAGAGCTGCTCTGGGCTCCTGGGCCTGGGCAGGGCTCAGGGAGGTGGCGAGGCTGGCTGACTGACCAACGACATGAGACGGCTTCAAGATGGTGTGTGGGTCATGGCATGGGGGCAGACTAACGTGGAGACACATGGGTGGGCTGAGGGCCACGGAGGGCCAGGAGAGGTGCAGGATCTGGAGGTCAGCGCTGGCTGGCCTGTGGGTACAGGGTGGGGTACAGGCTGACAGGGGCAGGGGCTGCTGGAGGCAGAGGCACAGATGGCCAGGGCAGGAGGCGGGCACAGGGGTGGGATGGCGAGGGAGAGGGAGACAGACACGGGGGCGAGGGAGGAGTTGGAGACGCGGGACTGGGGTGCTCTCCCCCTTACCGTGTCTTTGGAGGACCTACGTCTCTTGAAGCTGGAGGCCAGGGTGGAGGTGATAGCCCTAAATGTGGCTTTCTTTTTAGGGTCGGGCTCTGCTCTACCACTCTTTCTATCCTAAAATGAATATGTATAAGTGATTAGATGGCTAAGGGTGGCGGCCACACCTGCCCTTGCCTGCTCCTTGGGGGCCACTGCCTGGCCTGGCCGCCACTCAGGCCCTCACTTCTGCCTGCCTCCCTGTGCTGGACAGAGGTACTGACAGCCAGACTCTCGAGGGTGGCCTCTTCTCCTGCCTGAGGGCTTGGCCTGGCCTTGCTCTTGCTGGGGCTGGGCTGGGGTCCCGGCCGCTCTCCTTCTGGGAGTCCACCTGGCTCCTGGAAGCTCGAGGAGTAAAAGCCCCTCAAGGATCGGAGGAGCCGACCCCAAGGGGAATACATCAAGATGGAGGAAGGGGCCGAGGGCCCAAGGCAGGGCTTGAGATGAAATTGGAGTGATAGACAGAGGCAGCTGCCTGGACACCGGCCTTGAGTCTGATGGTCAGTGTAGCCCTGGGCCTCCCGTAGGAGCAGTGGCCAGGTCCCCAAGGGACCGAGAGGCCAAGAGGAAGAGTAGGCAGATGAGAGGTGAGGGGAACCCAGCAGCCCAGAACCCCACAGCCCTCACTGCAATGCCAGCTTCATCTTGGGACACAGCTCCAGGAAGGCACCAGAGAAAGAAAAGAGAGGAGCGAACAAGAATTTGCAAGATGGCCGGCAGCCCCAGGCCTCACGGGCCTCACTAGCATCCCGTCCCGACCCCCATGGGCTGTGACCGACCTGCATGCAGCCTTGGCCCAGCTGTCTGCAAATCCCCATGGATGCACTGTGGGGCTTCAGGCGGGGGAGGGCGGCTGCCTTGGATTGAAGTCACAGAGCAAAGGGGCGCAGCAGGAAAGGGTCCCTGGACAATGTCAGAGGGCTAGTTGCATTGGGACTCACGTGCTACACACAGGTGGGTCCCTGTCTTACCCTGCCTGCTTGCCTTCCTATGGGATGGGCACCGGTGGGCGACTCTGGAGACAGAGGGGCCAGGTGGAGGCTCCAGGTGGGGTGTGTGGCTTGGAAGTGGGCGCCCACCAGCAGGCAGCCCACCCCAGCGCTACCCCCATGTCCTGGGAGCACTCACCACTGCCCCCAGCCATGGTTCCTAGCTCCAGTCCTGCCCACAGGAGCCAGAGCCAGTGCCAAGGCCTGCGGCGCGGGGATTAGCCATGGCCAGGCCAGGCCTGGGCGACAGGCCTCACAGGGTGGCCTGCCCTACCTGCAGGTTCTTCCTCCACACGTTCACCGCTGCGAAGGCCAGCTGCATCTGCTTGCGGCGCGCATCCTTGTGGCGCTTGTAGGCGATCTCAATGAAAATCAGGAAGATGCCAGCCACGATGCCCCCAGCCACCAGCATAAAGACCCCTGTGTGCAGGCCAGAGCCTCAGCTGCTGGCTGAGAAGCCCGGCCAGTTCCAGCGCAGCCCAGGAGGAGAACGGGGGCCCCACCTGCCATGTTCTCGAAGGTGAGGGTTGCAGGGGCATTGCTACGTGAGTCACATTCCTGGTACCGGACCCACGTCTTGTCCAGGTCTTCCATGAAGCCGTTCTCATGGGACCTGGGGAGCACAGTAGGTAAGCCCCGGAGGGACTGTGACACTGCCTGACGGGACTGTGCCCAGGTTGAGTAAAGCCGTCAGTGGGGGGGGGGGGCATTCCAGGAAGCTATGCTGGGGACAAAGCCTAGGTGGGTGGTACGCAGTATACACAGCCTGTCGAGCTGGGGCTGAATCTGGGATGCCTTAGCACACTGGGTGCTGGGAAGAACGTCCCCCTCTAATAGGAGGCTCCTGGAGACGGTGAAGGTGGTGAGGGCACTGAGGCATGCTGGACTCACTTGAGGATGGACAGGGAGACATTCTGCTTCCAGGGGCTGTCCTTGCGCATGCCGATGCCAAAGCCAGAGCGGAAGAAGAGCTCGCCTGTGGTCACCAGGTCACACTTCTGCGAAGCCTCGAACTCCAGCACCGCCGAGTCCCAGATGAAGGCATGGAGCTTGCTGCGGGCAGAAGCAGGGTCACAGCGAGCCCCACTCCCACCGCCTCCATGCGGCTGGTGCACGCGTGCCCCTCCCCCACGGCACCCTGGAGCCGGCCTCACTTGTCCCGCACAGCCTGGATGGCCTCAGCTGCGCTCTCGTAGTTGTGCTTCTCCATGTGCCGGTACATGGTGCTCAGCTCCACCTGCCGCCGGAAGTAGATGTCCACGGAGCTCTGCTTCACAGTGGCGTAGATGAACTTGTCCGAGGGGTTCCTCAGCTGCGGGGCAGGGCAGGGCTCGAGGCTGCTCTCCAGGCCCCACCAAGACACGCCTCTGCAGCCCCACAGTGCCCCCTAAGCCAGGCCAGGCCTCACCCGTGGGTCATTGATGCCCGTGATCCGCTCCTCGGGCCGGTCCAGCACCAGGAAAGCTGCCAGGTTGGCAGTATAGGAAGCCACAATGATCATGGCGAAGCCAGCCCACACCATGCCCAGGATGCGCGCAGAGAAGCTTCGAGGGGCACCTGTGGAACGGGTCGGGTGAGCTCCCTGAGCACAGAGCCAGAGTGGACAGGCTGGGCACAGCCTCACCTTCCCCAATGCCAGAGTTGAGCAGGACACCCCAGGAGAACCACATGGCAGAGGACAGGGTCAGCGCATCCTCCTCCTCTTCCTCACTATTCACTTTGAACCGGCCAAAGGGGCTGCAGGGCACAAAGGGCGGGCGGGAGAGATGGCCTGGCCCACTCCTGCCCCACTCCACACGCCCTGGCCTGGTGTGGCCAGCTCCCACGTGGCACTCACCTGAAGCGGTCCAGCAGGTACAGCATCACAGCCACCACATGCACCGACAGCCCCACCAGCAGCCACAGCGTGCTCTGAAATGGTTGCATGAACGAGTCCAGTGTGCTGCGCGGGATCTCCTGCAGGAGGACGGGTGGTCAGCACCGCCAGGGCCCTTCAGGACCCAGAGCCACCCACTGGGCCCCTGCCCACCTTCTTAACCAGAATGGTCAAGCCCTGGTATTTGAAGGGCTTGGAGAATTCGATGTACTGAGCACGCTCGTTGTTGATGGTCAGTGGTGCGACGATCATGTCTGCCTGCCCACTGAGCAGCTCGCCCATCATCCCGTTCCACTCCTTCTTGTTGCTGTTGTTCACCTGTGCAGCGAGTGACGAGGCTACCGTGGGGTCTGCCGCAAGCCCTGGTGCATCCTGGTACAGACCTCGCCCAACTCCCGAGTCTCAGTCCCCTCACTGAGGCCCACCCTAGACACGCCTCCCACCACCTGGCCCCGCCCACCAGAAGGCCCCGCCCACGACCAGATCCCTCCCTCCAGGGCCAGCCAAGGCCCCTCCCCCTAGAGCCCTGCCCCAGCCAGTCCCCTCAGGCTCCAAGCCCCGCCCACAGGCCCCACCTACCCGCTCCTGGGTGCCGAACTTGCCGTCAGCAACCAGGTGCACTTCGTAGGTGAAGTTCATGGTCCGTGCAAGCTTGATGAGCAGGTCAATGCAGAAGCCATAGCAGCACTGAGGAACGGTGTGGCGCGCTGCGGGTGGGGTGAGCAGGTGGAACCACTTCCAGCTCCTGGTCGCCCTGCGGCCCCTCGCCTCTTCACACCTCCCAGCTCTCCCTACCCCCTACTCTCCCACCCCCACACTCACGGCTGCCTGGCGAGGTGTCATTGGGACCCGTGCAGATCACCTTCTTGACCGGGTCCCCATTGACAGTGAACTCTTCCTTGCACGTCCCGTCACTCAGCGTGGGCTTGACATATACGAAGGGTTCCTGGTGGATCGTCACGATCTGGAGAGAGGGAACCCGGCTTGGGTCACCACCCCCCGCTGTCTCTGCGCACTGGCCTCCTCCCGGGGCCAGTCCACACGGGCTTAGTGGAGATGCACTGTCCCCGCCTCTGGTCACGTTTCCTTAGATCTTGGCTTGGACATCACACCCTGCATCTGAGCAGTCTGTGAGGATGTCTGGCATGTGCTGGGCATCTCTGACCACTAGAGAAGAGAAACTCCCCACTTTGGCCACAGTCTAGCCTGCGACCCCCTGAGCCACAAGGACAGAGAAGGTCTACTGAAGAGACCTACAGAGCCATCTGTCTCTCCTTCATCTGCCCCCTGCCTCGTTGGCCGTGGGCCTGGCCAAGCCCTGCTGGCTCTGGCACACGGCCCCTAGACTCTAGGCTTCAGCTTCTGTCGCTCCTGTGACCCCTGTGATCCCCCTATGATGCTCCTGATACACCTGCCTCTCAGCCCGGGCTTCAGCTTTGCCTCTCCTCCTCCCTATCCTCCAGGGCTCTCTATCTGGGAGTGAGGGGACAGTCACAGTGTGGGGGGACCCAGTGGAGTAGGGCATGAGGGACTGGAAGTAGGAGTAGTGTTAGAGTTGATTCAGGGCTAGGGGAGGTGGAGAGTGGAAGGGCAGGTAGCCCAGGTGGGGTGGGACTTAGAGGAGCTTGCCTGGGTGCCCTGCACTCAAGGACCTGCCATTGGTGGTCACAGCAGAGCTCAAAGCACGGGGAAGGACCCAGTGCAACAC